AGCTAGTTGAGTCCTGTTGAGAAGTCTAGGGAAACAGTGGCTCACCATCCATGCAGCCTGTGAGAAGGTTCTACAAAAAAAAAAAAAAAAAAAAACTTACAGGAAAGATCAGAGCCTCCTAAAATACACCCACCACCCAAGATTAGCAAATGTTAACATTTGTCATATTGGCTCGATCCACTTCAGAATGTTTTAAGATAGAAAAGACTTAAAACACACCCACCCAGAGAGCTAAAAAGAAAGACTGACAGTATTGATGGCTGGAGAGCCTACGGTGCTGGCAGAACCCTCACCCACTGCTGGAGGCTGGTGAACCAGCAAAACCACTTTGGAAAATTTCTGGGCAGCCTTCATCTTAGCCAAGAGGCCCCAAAGTGGCTGAGCATTGTTTTTTGAGGGTTTTGTTTTCTATGGTGCCAGGGATAGAACCCAGTGCCTTGTACATGCTAGGCAAGAGCCCTGCTACGGAGCTGTACCTGCAGCCCCRGTTGGGGCAGTTCCTAATAAGGATCACGAGGCATTTTAACCTCAGCACCCTTGACTTTTCTTTCAGCTTGGTGTTGGGGACTATCTTGTGTACTGTAGGATGTTGATCAACCTTCCTGGCCTCTGTGTACCTGTGTTCCCTTCTCGTCATGATAACCAAAGATGTACCCAGACACTGTTCAYGGCTCCCCCTGGAGGAAGGGGCAAAATCCTTCGCACTCTGGGACCCACCCTGCTCCCCTTGGTTAAACAGACCTGTGTCATGGCCAAGCAGTCTTCCTAGGTGAGGACCTAACAATCGATGAAATGCTTTTTTGTTCACAAAAGACATGAGCAAGGATCATACTTTTATTCCTAATAGCCCCAAGCTAGAAATGACTCAAATGTCCACATGAAAAGTGAATGGATAAAAAAAAAAAAAAAAAGTGAATGGAGAAGCAGGGCCTGTTGTGCACACCTTTAATCCCAGCTACTTGGGAGGCTGAGACAGGAGGATCACAGGTTTGAGGCCAATCTCAGCAACTTAGAGAGTCCCTGTCTTAAAATAAAAAAACATAAAGGATTGGGGATGTATCTGAGTGCCCCTGGGCTCAATCCACAGTACCCAAAACAAATAAATAAATAAAAAGCCCAAATGCATTGCATCTGTGCTGAGCATATACAGAATTTTTTCTTGTTATGATTCCCTAAACAATACAGTATAACAACTATTTACAGAGCATTTACATTGCTTTGGGTATTATAAGTCATCTGGAGACCATTGAAAGTATATGGGAAGAGCAGGGCACTCAGGCCCACACTCATAATCCCAGTGACTCAGGAGGCTGAGGTAGAGGATCCTAAGTTTAATGCCCACACGAGGAAATTA